TGCGACATGTTATTTGAAGTCACTAAAAATGGTAAAACACTATATTTTGGCAGTTAGGGATGTGATCGAGTGTTGTTTATTCTATTTATGCTTAACTAGCTTAGCACAGATAATTCTTGATGTATTACCGCTTGAACGGATAACGTGTTAGCCCAAATACAGCTCAGGCCCAACTGTCACAGGCCTAATCATCTAAGGGAAAGCAGAAGGCCCTTTTATAGTTTACATTTTCTTATATTTTGATTTTCAGATTTTACATTTTATTTTTTGTCTCTTACACTTGTAAATATAAATAGACACTTCTCAATAATAAAATGAGGTTTTCGGTCAATTAACATTTGACCGACTCATTTCACTCATCTTCTTCTCTCAGCCTTTCTAGGGGTTTTTTTCTTCTGTTACTTTCCGTCATAGCTATTGAGCTTCGAACTTAACATGGTATCAGAGCGAGAATATACATTTCTCTCATTACAACTTTTTTTTCGTAGCCTTGTTTGAAATGATCAAGGATTGTATCAGATCGTCGGTTTACAGAATATGTTCGTGAAATTTGGGGTTTCGTTCAATCTTCGCATATTTTTGACTTTTATTACGAGAATCGTGGTTAATCTTCAAGTTACATGGTAGTTTCTGCTGGATTTCTCTACCTAGGGTTCATGGCTAAACAAGACCTCACTTCTTCGGGTTTTCAGAAGAAGGACGGTATCACTGTCACTCCTAATCACAAACTTTGTTAATTTTGATGTTAATGTTCATTGCATGTACATGATTTGACTTTTATCTCTGATTACTTCAACATACTACTGTAGTTTCTTAGTATTAGATTTAGTTACTACTGAAAATGGTTACTTTTGTAGACGATGTTAACTCTTTTTCAACTTCCAAAGATTTTGTTCCGTTTTCCTTGGATCCTTCGCATCCATTCTATATTCATCCCTCGGATAATCCTGGAAGTCAACTGGTATCTGTTCCATTCTGTGGTTGTGGGTTTGTGTTATGGCATAACAGTATGCTCACTTCTCCTTCTGCAAAGAACAACTCAACCTATTAGATGGCAGAGTTAATCAACCCACTCCTGAATCTCCTTATTACCTATATTGGGAAAGGTGCAATGATATGGTCAAAGCCTGGATAACTAACTCAGTATCTAGAGAAATAACTGTTAGTGTAATGTGTTTTAAAACTGCTAAGGAAGTCTGGAAAGACATAAATGAAAGGTTTGGTAAGTCAAACAGATCTAAATCCATTCAAATACAAAGGGAAATCAGCTCTATTACTCAAGGCTCCTCTGATATAGCTTCTTACTTCACCAAAATGAGGAGTTTGTGGGATGAGTTGAGCTCTTCATATGTAGGTCCTACTTGTTCCTGTGGTGCATTGCCTAAATTCATATAGGACCAACAGTTATTTCAGTTTCTCAATGGTCTAAATAACTCTTACACAACTGTTAAAAGTGCCATCATGTTAATGAATCATCTTCCACCAATCAGCAAAGCCTNGGATAGTCGATACACATCCGTAACGACCCATCTTCCTTCTGCACGAATAGGACTGACGCACTCCAAGGTGAATATTAGAGACAAACACTTACGACTCTACTCTACGCATGATCTAGATTCAGGAAGAAAGTAACAACCCTAGATGTCATGTAGCCTCCTGATTATAAATGTGGCGCGCTACACATCCACAATCAAGACTCTACTAGACACAACTCATAGACAACTCCTAGGACAGACTTGCTCTGATACCAAGTTTGTCACGACCCAAATTGGAGGGCCATGACTAGCACCCGACCATACTTTCCGAGCACCAACGTACATTTTATCTAACCTTCTTTATTATCTTTTACGGCTGACGAGATCAATATAAATGGTAGACATGGATCATGGACAACCAACAATAAAAACTGATGGCATGAACATATATAATATGGGATGACCAGACAATCAAAAAACTATATATAAGGTA